ACTTAAACTACTGGGCACTGTTGTGGATTCACTTTTATGTATTTTTAGTATTTTCAGCAAGATTGCTGACTTCATCACTGCTTGATATATAAGTATGTAATAGCAGGGTAGCAAGTTGAATTCCTTGTAAAGCATCAGTACCACTCAGTGGGGCAGACTATATAAATGGACGCTTTTTTAATGCCTCATAATTGCAGGAACATTGAAGAAGACAAAGAATGTCTGTCTTGAATACTGAAAAAAAATGCTGTTGCGTGGAATTAGTTAGATAAATGTAGGCCCATGAGATTAACATCAGTCCTGGAAAAAAAAGAATGGAAAAGGTGATACACAATTTGGTTAATTAAGATTTAAAGTATGGAGGCAGGCCTTGTTGGACCTAAAAGTTTGTTAAGGGCCAGCAGCCTCACAAATAAAAGAGAGGGGTGAGCTGAACATTTACAAGTCAAGGCTGCAAAGCAGCAGGTTTAGAGTTACCAGGAGCACACAGTTATGTCTGCTGTAACAAAGCTTTCTTCTATGCCGATGCCGCTTTGGCATATCAGGCCCCTTCACAGAGCAGTTTGTATCTGCCATAAATATATATAAGCCGTTGTGCTTTTGTTTTAAGCCAGAGTTCATATGCTAGAGAACTGAGTGTCTGTCACTCTGCATTCTCTCCTGTAGCTGTAAACTGGTTTTGCCTGACCTGTCTCTGCCTGTTTATTTAATGACAAAGGATATGAATGTAACTAATATTGGTCAGTTTGGATTTCTGGAATATACTTCTTTACGTGTGGTTTGTAATACTACATATTACCTGAATGTATTTACAGTGCAAATGGTCCTGAGGTGTTTTAGAGCCTTTTTTTCCTGTTACAGTGACTTTTGGAGGTGGGGGATTATTTAATGAAAGGGCTTGAGAGAGATGCAAATGGCTGTTGTGAATTTTGTGTTTGTAGAATCATAGAATAGTTAGGGTTGGAAAGGACCTTAAGATCATCTAGTTCCAACCCCCCTCCCATGGGCAGGGACACCTCACAGTAAACCATCTCACCCAAGACTTTGTCCAACCTGGTCTTGAACACTGCCAGGGATGGAGCATTCACAACCTCACTGGGCAACCCATTCCAGTGCCTCACCACCCTAACAGGAAAGAATTTCCTCCTTATATCCAACCTAAACTTCCCCTGTTTAAGTTTGAATCCATTACCCCTTGTCCTATCACTACAGTCCCTAATGAAGAGTCCCTCCCCAGCATCCCTATAGGCCCCCTTCAGATACTGGAAGGCTGCTATGAGGTCTCCACGCAGCCTTCTCTTCTCCAGGCTGAACAGCCCCAACTTTCTCAGCCTGTCTTCATATGGGAGGCGCTCCAGTCCCCTGATCATCCTGGCCCTCCTCTGGACTTTTTCCAACAGTTCCATGTCCTTTTTATGTTGAGGACACCAGAACTGCACACAATACTCCAGGTGAGGTCTCACAAGAGCAGAGTAGAGGGGCAGGATTGCCTCCTTCGACCTGCTGGTCACGCTCCTTTTGATGCAGCCCAGGATATGGTTGGCGTTCTGGGCTGTGAGCGCACGCTGCCGGCTCATGTTCACGTTCTCATTGACCAGCACCCCCAAGTCCTTCTCCGCAGGGCTGCTCATCTAATTCAAGGTGAATGGACATATTAGGGCAGTGATTTAACTATAGGAGCAGAAATTGTGGATTACACTCCTTGCTTTTTCTACTAGGTTATGTAAGTTATATATCTTAACAAAGAGGTAGAAGTTTAGGAGTACCTTATGTTTTACCTGTATGCATGATAGTCTTGAGGAGATGTGGAAGTGAATGGAAAAGATAGATCAACAGTTTAGGAATATGTATACTTACAAGTTATGTGCTGCTACTTGTTGATTTCTTTTAGCTATAACCGCCCAAAAGAGGCAGTTGGACTTACTGTCTGTGTTTTGTCTGCGTAATTTCTAAAAGGTTTATTAAATCATGCTATGCCACTTAATGTTTGTTACCTGCTGAATTAGTTGGGAAGTGGTCCCATTTGTATGTACTGTTTGTGCTGTTTTGCTGAGCAGATGTACTCTCTTTTGGCAATCGACTGTAGTTATTTTGTGATGTGGTTTACCCATTTCATGTAGACAAGCAACTTAATACAGAGAGGAAATGAAAAGATATACTTCTCAGATGCCTAGTGATCCTTGAACAACTGATTATGATAAAGGTGGATAATAAATACTGACTCACTGCTTTCAGGTGAGGTGATTTTACATAATTACACATTTTGGAAGACATTCTGTGATGTATTTATTTCTGGTTGTGCAGAAGTTTAGATTTTGGAACCTCATTATGAACTGTTCATTTATGTCTATGCATCTGAATTCTTTGAAGATAAGTGAGAGAAATCATGCACTTAAAAATAACACTTATCTTGATGACTTAAGAGATTAATGAAAACATCTGAAAAAAAATCTACTTTTAAAAAATATTACATAGTTGTAAGCAGTCTTTTAAAAACGTTAGCTGTATCCAGTTCTCCTTCCTACAGTCAAGCCTTCCACTTGTTCTTAGGCTTCTCGTATTTGAAACAGCTTAAAAGTTTTAACTGCAATTCTCAGTTTAGAATTTTTTTAAACACTAAGTTTTGAGTAAGCTTTTTGAGACCCTCATTGAATAATAACCTGATTTTTCTTAAACAGGCATGTTGGCTAGCTGTTTTGAGGGGATTTTTTTTTGTTTTTTTTTAAAGCCCTGATAAATAATACCTTTTCAATAGAGGTGGCAAAAAACTCACACCCAACATCCAAGGTCAGAAAACTTCACCAGTGTGAGAGCAGTAACTGCAGAATCAAAACTTGAATTACAATTATTTTCCTCTTTCTTTTACTTCCAACTCTGAACTAGATTGCACAGATACACAGCAGTCTTCTGAAATTAACTGACAAAAGATATATTACATCTGCTGCTTGTTAGAAATGTTAATCGAATTGTAATAGGTTTTGATGGTTCAAGTTATGGCAGTCTTGAACTGGTGCCATTGAAACTTATGGCCGTATTGTTTTGTTTTGCATTGTACAGAACCCACTTAACAGATGATTTTTTTTTTCCCTGAGATGTTAGGTGAAAGACAAAAGTATCAGTGCATGTTGTTATAAGAGCAGTGAGGAGGCAGGAAGAATTCTTACTGGGTCAGTATAATATGTGAAGTGAGGCAAAGGAAAATAAGATTGAGAGGTGTTTGAGCATTTGTGAAGAGAACAGTTGGAGATACTTAGTAAAGAAAAAGACAGAAACTGGGGAGATGTAGAGCGTGCTGGAACCTGTCAGCAACAAAATGGCTGAGTGGCTAGGTACGCCATCAAAAATTCTCATTAAGTTCTTATCAAATACAGCAAGTGGGAAAGTGGAAAAGGGTTAGAATAATGGAAAAATCTTTCCCATTTTAAGCAGAAGACTTAAGCATGAAACTTTAGAAACTACGGAACGCGTTGTGTGTCAAGTCACCCTCCCCTCCATCCCTTCCCCCTAGTCGTGGCAGTCAATAGTGGGATCTTGTAGGAGGAATTTCAAATATAAAAAGTATTCTGCAGTTATATGCACAAGATGACCCCTTTCCTGTGGAAGTTTTTTCACACATTTTTCCTGGTAGGAGTCCCATTATTTTGGGAGTATGTTGTTGACTCTTGATGTGAGACAAGGGTTAGCATAGTATCAACTTCTTGTTTTTTAGTCTCATGATATTCTGTTAGTCTTTGGCAAGTAAGTTTAACCTGCTAGCATTTGGTGGAATTCATAAATCCTTTCTTTGTTCATAAGTGAAGGGTTCAAAAGAGGTGTTTATGAATGGCAAATTTGTCCTTAGCAAGCATCAGGCGAGAGAGATTATTTTAGTGCGTTAGCAGAACATAAAAAGAAGGGGAAAAGGAAAAAAAAAAAAGAAGGAAAAAGGATTGCTAGATACATTAAATGAGAAAGATGTGCTAAATAAAAATGAGGGAAGTGAGACAGACGTAGAGGAAAGCTATTTAAAATGATGCTGGAAAAAGAAATACTGTGTCTTAGTAAACAAAAAATGGTGTGAAATCAGTAAAAGTAAAAGCAAAGATGTAGGTTTTCAAAGTTAATATTACATGCAAAATTGATCAATATGATACTATAAAATGGTGTTTTAAACAGTACATGACTATGCTTTTTCTGTTTCAAGGGCTGTGGGGTATTTAGTGTGTGTGAGCACAGGCATTTTTCAAGTTACTTTTATATTATTTTTCAAGTCCTGTTAGATGTTAGAGTCTCATTCTAAAATGTTTTGCATGTTACTTCATGTAGAATTCACATCTATGTGGCTTATGTAGTGGATATTCCGAGTGAGTGAAATAACTGAGATGACCTGCACCTTTTATTTTATAGTTTTACTGGGGCACTGGTGTCCAGTCGTCTCATTGAAACTCTGTACACAGTACTTCAGGGTGTATTAACATTGATGCTGTTTCCTTAGTGTACTGTAGTTTATTTTTCAGAAATAACTAATCAACACTTTTAGCTTTGTTTAATATCCTTTTATATAAACAAAAATTCATTGTCCTATAATAAAAAATATCCTTTTACTGCTGCGGTGCAAAATGTTCTTTGCTTTGCCAGATTAAATAGGTGATGAAGTATAGTAAATGTGTTTTAGTAATATTAACAGATGCATGCCTTTTTATTCCTTTATACTTTTCTTAAACAGCCATGATTGGAAATAGGTATTAAAAATACTTTGAAGGATTTAAGTCTTAGGAAGTATTTCAGTGTAAGTCGAGAGAGAAAGCATTTAATGATTTTCCTTTGAATAACCTTAATATCAACAGAGAGCTACTATTTTAACAGCATAGGAAATCTAAGAACATAAAATATTAGTCATAGAAGGATTTAAACTTCAGTATCATTATAAAGAAATTTAAATTCATTGAGTTATTGTCCAGACATTAAAGTATATATAGATGTGATAAAAAATTGAAGCAGAATATGAAATAAAAACTTACCTAGAAGATACTTGATTGAAGCTTTATCTATGCTCTGTCAGAATATACTGAGACTCACTCAGAAGATAGGAAGCATTTTTCTATTTGAAATGCATTGTGCACTCTTGTCTTGTGATTTCTTTTTCCACAGCGTCTTGTTATTCACTGCTGCTTCGTCTTGTGGTATTGGTTGTTAGTAGTTTATTTCCAGGTATCTCCAATATCAGATTTCTTCCATATTCAGTGTTTGTGTATATTCTGCCCTAATCGGGTAACAGAAAAAGAACCTGTGAACTTTGTATTTTTCCTCCTGCCCCGACCCACACCCCCCCCCCACAAAAAAAAAAGGAAAAAACAAACAAAAGGTAAATGCACTGACCCCAGTTAACTCAAGTATTCGGCACCTATTTAGAAAAAAAAAATCGTGAAGAATTAGCATCCAGTAAATTCCATCTGTTTTCTGTAGATATTCCAAAACTGAAAAGTTATTTTCCTACACATTTAGGTAGCCTCCAAGTTTTAGATTTTTGTAGGAAATATGCAGGAAGGATCAGTAGACATCAGGTCTTAACTTTTAACCCATGCAACATTATTCTCTGAAGAATGATGAAGGTCTGTCTCTCTCAGATCCTTATGCTTCTGTCAGACACAGATGTGAAATGCTGATTTAGAACAGAGGGAGGAAAAAAAAATCCCGAAGGGTGTAGTGTTTTGTCATCTCTCAGGACAGTGCGCACGCATGGCATCAATGAATAGCAGATAAGAGATATTCAAACCAGTCACTAAATTGACAGGATGACGCTTTCGTACATAATAGACCCATTAATTATTTCTTCTGATGGACAGCAGTGTCTACTAGAAGAAGAAAGCAGCAGATGATAATACTAGGTTTGATAGGTGCTCTGTGTTTGAACAGCTTGTCATCAAGAAATGAATCCAGGAAAAAAATGCTGGTTTAGGATATAATTAGATAAAACGGACCAGAGTTGTTTTGACATGGTAGATGTTATACATAGGGTTAAAAACTCCATTCAGGTTAACGTCTATTCATAGCTTGCTTTTTACCAAAAAAGATGTTCCAGAAGATTTACTTTAAAAATCGTGGATTGTGCTTTGCTTCATGTAGCCTTTCACTGGGGGAACCTGGCTGTAGTCTTATGGTTTTTCATTTATACTTTAAGATGCTGATTAAGCCTACGCATTCATGGGTGTTTTATCTTTTTTCTTTTTTTCTTTTATTTCTTTTTTTTCCCTGCAAAAAGAAACCTTAATGTTTTAAAAATCTTTTTCAAAGGACTCTGTGTATGAAGATGATGTTCAAACTCATTATACATTTTGTATGAAACAAAGGCTTTCTGACTCACAAATCCATTTCTAATTAATTTTAGAAATTTAAATAGTCTGATTTAATGTTAATTAGCTGCTCTCTTGAGGTTAATATGTAGGAAATAATACACATTAGAAAACCAACTTTAGTGTAGCATAAGTCCTTCATAAATCTGTCCTAAAATATGATGGGTAAAATCTTCATTCACTGTACTGATGTTGTTAGGGGCAACATGTGCTGATTGTGGGGAGAAAAATGAAACATTTGGAACTTTTCCTTAGAATATAGTTTCCTTCTTTTTTCCCCCCATTAGAATCATATTTACTGCAGCTTTTCTTTTTAATTTATGGACAAGAAAATCTTTACAATAATTTTTTTATTTTGTTTTGTTTTCTTGGTTTTGCCCTCTGTATGTTGAAGGTCAAGAAGAGATAAAATGATGACAGAAAGAAAATAGTGTAATTTACTTTAGAACTGGGGTGAAACATGAACCAAAAAAATGGTGGGATAAGGAGCTACTTCTACAGGTTTGTACTGGTTTGTTGTAATTATGAAGAACCTCTCTCAAAATTTGCCCTTGTCTTCTTTCATTGAAAGAGCAAAGATACTTTCATTTTTCCTTATTATAAAACAATGGAGAGCATCTGGATAAGCTTTTTTGATTTATAGCATCAATAATGATGAGCAGAGTTATGCATTTATATCACATCAAATAAGTTTGGGGATATTTGGCCTCTAGTTGGCATCCTAAATAGCTCCAGACCAAATCCAAGCCTAGTAGCATATGATGGCTGTAACTTTAAATCCAAATTGTCAATGTTGTCTCTTTAGATAATGAGTTGAGTTGCCAAGGATACAATGGGTACATGATGTAAAGTCCATGCTGAAAGTACTGAATAAGGCATACTTTCTGAAATAATATTAACACTTCTGTCTCATGATTCCTGTCCTCAAGCATACAATGCATATCTGGAGTTGGTAGCCTAGCTTGAACTGAAAGTGTCCTAAATTTATTAAGATATTTCATAACGGTGCTGATTCTCACGAAGCCCTTCGAAGTAATTGGAGTCTGACAAGACACAATCTTCCTGTTTGCTGCAATAAGATATCTGTATACAATTTGTATTCTCAAATAATCTTTTGGGAGATAAAGAGCAAACAGTAGTCCCAGTCTGCTTCTGCCTTGCAAATCCCCAAATAGGGCACTTGAATATCTACTCTGTGATTATCCCCAAAAGAAGTCCTGAAGCATAAAATGGAGAGTTTTTTAATACACGCATTTGTGCAAGCGCACACATATAGGTACTTGTATAAACCCCACTTTTCCCCCCTCTTTAGAACTGGATAAGCTGAGCTATTTGTGTGTTAGTATCAAAAGTATTCTGCAGTCTCAAGCTTGGAGATGAGACTAAACTTGGATAAAGCAGCACCTTAAAGTTAGGGGATGACAGCAATCCTGACATCTTTCTGTGCAACTTCAGTTGAAGATAAGGCGATGGCTGGTGTTAATTCAAAATCTGAAGACAATGCTGTTTAAAATTTTCAACCTTGAATGTAACACAGAGAAGAGGAAATGAATTTTTAGCATGGTGTTCTGAAAATCTTTTCTGGTTGGTCAAGATACAACAGGAATAAGCTGTATAGATACAAGCTGCATATATAAAGGTGATAATATCTCTAGTGTTGAAAGTTGCTGGTATACCTGAAGTAGCAAAGGGTTCAAGCATGTACAACTATGAACTCTGTAGGTCCTATAGTCTGTTTTGTGACTGGATATCTACAATGTGACAATGATGTTAATTCTTGTAGAGTCTGGTTGTCTTGCACTCACAAAATTATGTGATAAGGGATTCCATATCTGTATATAACATCAGTTGGCATGAAGTTCTCATACTTTTAACCCAGGGGTAAGGAATACATCCCTCTGCTTTGTTTCATTTGATTCACAGACCCGTTGGATGGGGCTTTGAGCAACCTGGTTGGGTGTCAGGTATTCCTGACCATGGGAGGGGGTTGGCCTAGAAGATCTTTAAAGGTCCCTTCCAACCCAAACTATGCAACACTATGTTGTTTTATGCACTATTTTCTGATAACAGGTTAATTTGTAGTGATGAAAATGTCCTTTAGTTCTTGGACAGACTTCTGTTTCAATTCCCTGTTTTTTGGATGGTTATTATGCACCTACATGTTATAGCTACAAACCTCAAAATAACTACTGTGTAGCTTTGGCTAACAATGTATTGTAAGTCTGCGCCTGAAAATGAGATCTAGGGTGAATCATGCACCTTCCTGTTTTAAGAAGTCTGCTTTCTCAAAGTTGCATAAGAAGTGAGAACAGAAGGCAGCTTTCTTTAAAAATGCTTTAAGTTTTAAGTGCATGAGCATTCAAGGTGAAAGCTCACTGAAATTTCATTGCAGTCTCAGTGGGATTTGATATTTACAGTATCAAAGCTGATAGCTTTGCCAATAGTATTAAACCATGTACTACTGTCTATGTTAGTCCATTCATGATTAATAATTATGGATTCTTCAAATCTAAAAGGCCAAGAGTTACCCCTGCTGTATGAAAGTAATTTGTCAAATATATCAGGGAAAAACATTCTTCTAGTAAAACTGAATGATCAGTAAAGCTACATCTCAGTGAAATGTTTCTACAGATTAGAAATGTGTGTGGTAACCACTAATGTTAGAACGTGAACAAATTTGAGAAAAAACTACCAAACACAAAAAAACCAAACAAACCCCGTAGTGGTAGAGAGCGCTTCTAAACATTTTTCCGTTTGAGAATTTTACAAAGCAGTTATCATTTATCACTATCAAACAGTTACACGCACGGAAATCCCAGTTTCAGCTTTTTTATGAATGTTGTTATTCAGCTTTTATAGATCTGCATGATTACCCGCTTCAAGTGAGTTGATAACTGCAGTGGTCGGTTTTCAGAGAAAAGCAGTGTGTATTTATCTGAATTTTAAAATTGCTGAAGAGCTAATGTTCTGAAGAAAACATCATTGTTACTGCTGCTGCTTTTGTTGCCTGCAAGTAGTTCCTGCTTTTGTGAACAAAATTATTTTCCTACTTACTCTTCAGACTTATTTTTGGGGCGTTATGCTTCTGTGTGTATTGTTGTGACCTCAGATCAATAATTATTTGTTATTGCAGATTAAATAATTCAGGTTTATTATTGGAATGTGTGATTATCTTTCAGCTAAAGTAATCTGCAAGCCATCATTTTCAGTGATCAATACAGAATACATTGTATGATTCTTAAAAAAAAACACAGATCAAACAAAAACAAACCCCAAAACAAAATCACAAATCCCCAAGCCCATAAATGACTATATAAATGAAACTAGTCTTCAGTTTTAAAATTTTGAAATCAATCAGATGACTAATACTGAGTAATTTGTGACCTAAAAATGTGACAGCCTGAATCTTACAATTATTTTGAATTTAAAAGGAAGATCTGCTGGCTCTCAATGAAAATACAGATAGTTTGTAATTTCTTGAGATATGACCATTTCTCATAAAATGAGTTTTTCCTATAGTCTGAAAACTGGTGTAGGACAGCAAACTCAAAAGAGAAATGGATTGAGATAGCTTAGAATTTTTTTGTTACCTAGGAAATGAGTTAAGTACTTAGCACAACTCTTATCATGTCAGACATCTGAGGGCTTTTGTGTTTTCTAGATTTTAGTTATGGCAGTCAAGTTTAGACTTCAGAGTAAGTGGCTTTAATAGAAAATCCTTTGAGAGGAAAGACAATTTATTTTTTACTTTTCCAGTGGAAGTATTGCTAGTAAGTGCATTTGGACAGAATGCTTTAATAAAAATGTATAATGATAATTCAACATTATTTCTAGGACTGTTTCTACTAACATTTTGTTGAAAATTTATATTCAAAAAGAGCCCTGTAATTAAACTGCACATTTTTTTAATTTTTTTCTTCTTTTAAGAAAAATAACTGGCATGCTGGCACAGGTTTTATGTAATTTGTTTTATAAATTATACTTTGTACATTTGTGTGTATTAAAATGAGGCTTTCTTGATATGTTTTTTCCCCCATTATTTTAATATTGGAAATAGAAATGCCCAAAGATTTCTGCTTCTGACTAACACAGTAGTAGGAAAGATAAGCAATGGCTGTTTCATTAAATATGAGCTTCAATTATATTTTAATCATGTTTTAATTAATGGTTCCGTATTTGTGAATGTGGTGTCTGATTTAGTCAAAGAAGGGTGCTGTTACTAAAGTATTCAGGTTGGTAACCAATTATGAAACTGTATTGAAGATTGAACAGTTCTGTGTAATTGTGGTTTGTTAACTGGCGATATCTGATGAACATGTGCTCAGCAAATTGTTACCTGAAGTCTTTCAATTTTTGTAGACTGTTGACATGTGCATTCACCAG